GCTTCTGGAGAGGCTTCCTTTAATGTCTACTGGGATAGCTCAAGGGTTTAACAGGCAGCTGGGTTGGGGGATCCGAACGACAGGAAAGGGACCCAGGAGGCCAGGGTTGGGGACCGCTGCTCAGCATTCATTCATTTGACACATAGTGAGCATGTCTAAAGCCCAAATCAGACACCCAGGAAGAGAAAGTAATCACTTAGAGGGAGAACAGTTCATTGGCATTTCTAGGGTTACCTAGTATTTTCAGAGCCTCTGAGTTTACTTATTTACCGACTTGAGAGAGATTTCTTTGCTGTTCCATTATTTATGCATTCCTTGGTTGATTCTTTGTATGTGCCCTGACCGGTATGAACCCACAGTGGCATATCTGGAGGAGCTGCCCAGCCAGGGCCAGAACCTTTCAACATCCTTTTATCTCGTTTGGGAAGAAGTCAGCCAAGAGGGTGTTGCAGATAAGGAAGCTGAGATTCAGAGGGTTGCAACTTCACCAATTCCCCTGACTGACTTTTTTTTTTAAACTGAGATAAACCCTTTTATTTATTTATGCTTCTCCATTTTGTTTAAAATAACAACCACCACCTTAATATTAACTAACAGCCCTTCCCCCTCACCCCTCCTTGGGCTGGGGGGTAGATAATGGGGAAATGGCCCCCAGGGGCGGGGCTGACCATAGAGCCCCTTGGAGAGGTAATGGAGCCCAAGTCCCCTCCCCAGGGGACGGGGCACCTGTAGTGTATGAACTGGGGAGTTAACGGGACTCTTGAACCTCTTCTTGTACCAACATATATGCCCTTGGCCATCAAGGGTAAGGAAGCATATGGGGAGGGGATTCCTACCGCTCCTCTATGTCCCTGCTCAGCCCCCGTCTCAGGAACTGAGGGCTGAGGAGCAAGAAAGTGGAGAAAGGGTGGGGGTAGGGTGTCACACAAAGGAGTACTGGTTATTAATGGCTCTGGGGTGGCCCCCTTCTTCTCCATCGCCCCCTAGTGGTAACTGCTGGAGCTCTGACTGCCTTTGGAACGGCGGTCTGGGCCTCGACGCCGCCGCTGGTTGCTTTGGCTGCACAGCAGCAGAGGCGCTTCCGCGCGCCGGGGTCCTGCGGAGTCGGAGACGCGCTCCCCGGTTACCCAGGCAACAGGGCGGCAGTCACGTGGTGCAGGAGCCTGCGGCGAAGTCTTAGGAGCATGCGCGGCCCTCGGCCTCAGGTTCAGCAGTCGGGAGGCGGGTCATGTGTCAAAGGCTCGCACGCGGTGGCGTCCGCAACCCAGGCTCAGTCGTCACATGACCGGCTTTTAGCCATCATGGCGGCGGCCGTGGTGCAGCGCTGGGGTTGAGCTGCAGCGAGTGTCGTGGGCTCCTGCCCGGGGTGAGGGTGGCTCCACCAGGGGGGTGGGGAGGACCAGGCCCTGCGCGGCCCTCCTCAACCCTCTCCGGACAT